GTGAGGTCCGGCACGCCTCTCCTGCTCGTACCAATCACTGCATCTCATCCCACTGTGGCTCTGTGCCAGGGTTTTGGTGAGGGACTCACCTGCTCACACACTCGCTACCTTCCTCAAACCCAGCAGCGAAGTTGCAAAGTTGACAATACCTCTTATATTGTTTGAGGGGTAATTATTATAATGCTAAGTATCATTTTTGTTTACTTTCAGCTGCTTCCTGACAATACTTGTTCTTGTTACTTATACAAGTAACAAGCAACTATTGCATCTACTTATTTCCTAAGGGAGTTGGGAAGAACATGTCACTGCTTCAAGTTTTATCTTTTTAAGACAAGAGTAAAATCTCACTTAGGTTTCTCTTTTACCGAACAAACAACTGGGATGCACATACCTGGTTAGTCACAGATATGCCCCAGATATTTATACAACAAATTTACGTTTTAAACAAATCTTACTTTCTTTCATGAGGCGTCTCTGTGCTCACTGAGTGATACCTCGTAAGTTTTCTTTGTGAGACCCCTGGAGATCCCTGAGCAGGTTCCACAGGTTCCTGGCACTCCATGGGGAAATGACTCAGGGTGTTTGCTCGCCTTCTGAAGGCCTGCTGGGGTGACAGTGGGGCAGGCTCTTCTGTGAGATGGCTCTCCGAGTCACTGGACAGGTCATCTGAGGAGCCAAGGAGCTTGAAGGAGCTCTCACAGATGGGCAAGGTCTCCTTTTCACACACAGATGGCTCCTGGCAGCAAGCAGACAGCAGATTAGACATACCGCAGAGGAATTTCTAGGATTTATATATTCTAATCCCAGTGCAGGAAAACATTTCAATATGTAAGTACATTTTCTGGTTATAATGCCATCTACAGGCCACCAAAAGTATAAGGAAATAAAGGTCAATTAAATGCCTGATTGTCAAAGACAAGTTGCTAGTTTGCTGGAGAAATGGGGAAACTGCCCAAATGCCACAGTGAAGGACACAGGCCACAACATACAACTGTTCTAAGTGAAGCTGTAAATTAATTCCCTCTAGAAAACAGAACTCTTTACTACTGCTTCTAAGAAGTACAAGAAGTGCTATACCACTTGTCTCCACTGTTGAAACCAATTGAGTTCTTTTTCTCTGCCAAAGGTGTTCATACATGTTAAACCCACAGTTAAAGGATCTCTCTGGATCTGATGTAACGCTGAGATTTAACTTGGTAATACTGAAGTTAAAAACTATATCCTTTATTATTCTTAGAATGTGAAAAATCTCTCTCTAGGCACTTAGGTTTGTGGCAATTCAGGGCAAATCACTTCTTCCTGCACCTCAATTTCCTCACCTGTAAAAATGTATAGTGAACATTTACTCACTGCGTTTCAAGAATTAAGCAAGGTTAGACAACTGAAAGTACTCTATATACTGTAAAATGTTATACAAATGTAAGTTTTATTATTTGGTACTCAGTGAATTTAATGAGTAGGAACTCAAACATT